TCCCCCCCCGGTCCAGGACATCACGCAGGTGACCGATTGGCTGGACAATGACCTTGATGCTATCCTCCGTTTCCAAGAGGTTGCACTCCGCCTGCGTACCGCTTTTGCACATGTGCGCTTATGGCACGCCAGCCCTGACTGGGACGCCATCACCAGCGTGGACATCTTTACTGATGGGTCTGCCTCCGGTAGGGAGGAGCCACTCCGTTCAGCCCCGGCCGGATGGGCCTTCACCGTCTGGATCTGTACACATTCCGGCTGCCATTTCTATGGGGCTGCCTACGGGGTTGCCGCTAGACCGGGTGAAGGGGCGTACCTCGGGGAGACCGAAGACACGCCATTACAGAGTGAGGTGCTGGCGGTTTGTTGGGCTCTTGTTTGGGCTTTCGAGTTCGGCCCCGGCTTTGCGTGTCCTGTGCACCTGCGTTATGATTGCCAGGCCGCGGGCCGTGGTACGTTTTGCGAGGCTGCCCCTGCAAAGATGCCGACTGCAAACGGACGTCTTTCACTTAGCCAGTTCGCTAGCGTTCTCAGGCAATGTGTCCAGTGTCGGCTTGATCTTGAATCCAGTTATGTCCCGGGACACGCTGGTTATCTCGGGAACGAGCTCTGTGATGCGTTTGCAAAATTTGCCCGCCTGCAGCCACCCGCAGTCTGCAACGACCTTTGTCCGACTTGGCCGGGACAGCTTGCCCGCCACCCTTTGGTCACCTGGGCGTGGCTCGCTGCCGGATATGCACCAGATCTGCCACGGCTTTTTGCGTTTGAGCCTACAGCCGCATGCCTGCAGGCACAGGTTGCGTCCCGCCCTGCTCCCCTCCTCGGTGTCAGTGAAGCACAGGCTCCCAACCGGCCTGTCCGCTTCTCCATTACATTCGTCACCTACAACGTTCTCACCCTTTTGGATCGGCCCGCGGGGAGAGAGCGCACGGTGTGTAGGCGTGCAGGCCTTAGGATTGCGGGCAAACGACATCTACTCATTGAACAATGTCATGCAGCAGGTGTCCATGTGATTGGCCTACAGGAGACGCGGCTCCAGGATACCGCGACCCTCGCGGATCGCACGTATCTTCTTTTACATGCAGCTGCGACACCTGCGGGACATTTTGGATGTGCCCTCTGGCTCAGCAAGGTCCTTCCTTATGCCCATGCTGATGGTCGCCCGCTGTATTTCGAAGCCAAGCAATGTGCAGTCTCCGCTTTCTCTCCACGGCACCTGCTAGTCACCGTGAGTGCGCCGCACTTTCGTTGTGCATTCATGGTTGCCCATGCTCCCTCGGACCCGCAAGGCAGGCTGCAGGCAGCCCGTGAGTTTTGGGCCCAGCGTACTACCGAGCTACAACGCCTTCCCACAGACATGCCTGTTGTGCTTCTCACGGATGCCAATAGCCGTCTCGGCAATCTCCCCAGCCCGGCTGTCGGAGGGCATGGTGCTGAAGAGGAGACCATTGCAGGCTCGCACTTCCATGATTTCTTGCTGCGGCACGGGCTTTACTTGCCCTGCACGTTTTCTACGACCCATGAGGGAGACACCTGGACCTGGAGCTCCGCCACCGGTGAGCATCATAGACTTGATTATGTTGCTGTCCCACAGGCTTGGGCCACTTTCGCCCTCCGGTCGCGTGTGTGGTACTCCCTTGAGGCAATGCAGAAAAGGGACGACCACATCCCAGCCATCCTTAGCTGCCGTTTCCACAGGGTTGTTTCAGAAAAACCCGCGAGCACTTTCCGCCGCAGGTCCTGTCGCCCTAACGACCTTGATCCGGCCTTGGACAAACAGACTTTCCTGCAAAGACTGGGGCACAGTCCTGTCCCTACTTGGGACCTTAATGTCGATGAGCACTTCGCGAGCTTTGTTCATACCTGGACCGCTGCGGGGCATGCTGCCAACGACGCCCTTACCACTGTCCAGCCTCGGCAAACCTTCCTCACAGGTGATACCATGCAGTTGGTTGCAGCCCGCAAAGCCCTCCGTGTATATCTCCGACAGGAGGAAGTGGAACTCCGTAGGCGCTATCAGCTCATAGCCTTTGCAGGGTTCATTCTTCATGCGAGGGGCCTGGCTTTTTCAGTCAACGCCCAGCGCCGTGCCGAAGTGTGGTTGCGGGATGTCGAAGCCAGTATTGCGCAGGCCTGGGCGTCCCTTGGCCTGGCCTGTAGACTCCTGCGGAACTCCGTCAAGACTGACCGCAACCGGTATCTTGATGAGCTCGCACGGGAGGTCACGCTGGTTGACCTCAGCCGCCCCAAGCAATTATACCGAAGAGTCCGCAAGGCGTTCCCCAAGGCTGCTGCCTCAAGACGCACCCAGTTCACCGCCCTGCCAGCCGTTGAAAACAGCGACGGCCTCCTTGCAACGACTGCCGAAGCCCGCGCCGACTGCTGGAGGGAGCACTTTGCTGAGCAGGAGTGCGGGCAGCCAGTCAGCGCAGACGCTTTTTGTGCACAGCTGTCGTGTACCGATGCACGCCGCCATACCCAAATAGTCCCGGTTTTCGATGCAGCCTTGCTCCCGAGCCTTTCTGCAATTGAGACTGCCGTCCTCGGCCTGCGTCGGTCAAAGGCCGCTGGACCAGATGGCATTACAGCGGAGCTCCTCAAAGTCTCCCCTTGCCTTGCGGCAAGGCATCTCGTCGCGCTCCACTTGAAGTGTGTGTTGGCAGTGCGAGAGCCTGTGGAATATAAAGGGGGGGCCCTGATGACACTCGCCAAACGCGCTGCCGCTGCGTTCGGCCGCAACAAATATAGGAGCATTTTGCTCTCTAGTGTCACAGGCAAGGTCTTCCACAAGGGTCTCCGTGATCACCTTACTCCTGCATTTCTGAGCCAAAGTCCCGACTTGCATGGCGGAGTTAAGAGCGGCGTCGGGGTTGACACCATTTCGTTGGCCGTTCGATGCTTTCGGGCTTACACCTGTTCATCCCGCCGCCTCCCTGCTTTCGTCTTCTACGACGTTCGTGCCGCCTACTACCAGGTGCTCAGGGAGACCCTTACAGGAGATGATCTGGACGACCGTGTTCTTGTTAGCCTTTTCCGCCGCATGGGCGTGCCGCCCGAGGCTTTCATTGAGCTCAAGGAGCATCTCTCTCGCCTGGCTGCCCTGGAGACATGCGGCTGCTCAGCACATGCTGTGGCTATGTCGCGCGAGGTCTTCACGGGTACTTGGTTTCGGCTCGACCAACATGCCCCCCTCGTGTCCACTGCCGCCGGTGTACGGCCTGGTGACCCGCTTGCTGACATCATGTTCGCCATTAGCTTCAGTGCTTACGTGCACTCAGTGCAGCGGGCTCTGACCCTCCGTGGCCTGCACACCCCCCTTCCTGCGTGCCGAAGCCAGCCTCCCTGGTGTGCCGACCCGCCTCCTCCTGTCCTCGGACCCGCCTCGTGGGCGGATGACTTTGTGGCCATGCATGCTGCTGAGGACGCTTTGGCCTTGGTTCGCCTTGTCCGTGATGCCACCTGTGTTTACCTAGAGCACGCCACGGCCAACGGCATCCAGCTTGCGTTCGCTGTGGATAAGACTGCTACCGTGTTGCCGCCTACAGCTTGCCATGCCGGCCACGTGGGTCTCTGTCACCAGGGTACAGACTGCTGGCTCGATGTGCCCAACACCCTGACCGGCGCTGTGGAGCGACTGCCAGTCGTCCAGGCGTACAAGCATCTTGGGGGTATCATCACCAGCGCAGGCACGGTTGTCCCTGAGGTTCGCTTCCGTCACGCACAAGCCGCTTGGACTTTGAAGCCCCTGCGTGGTGTACTGTTTGGCAATCCCAGTATACCACTGTCTGTGCGCCGGCACCTTTTGTCTTCGCTTGTGGTATCCAAGTATGTGTTTGGTTCCGCGACTCTGGAACTACATGTTGCTGGACATTGGCGCCTATGGGCACGGCTTTACACCTCCTTGCATCGGGCCTTACGGCCACGTTCCCAGGTCTGCCAGCCCTTTCACTCGTACGAGGCCCTGTCGCTTGCTGGTGCCTGTACCCCGCCTCTCGCGCTTGCTAAGGCCCGAGGTGGTTTCCTCCTCCGGGTTATTGAGCGGGGCCCCGCCACCCTGCGCCATTTGTTGCAGTTGCAATGGGAGGCCGAACCTCACAGGTCCTGGTTGTCTCAGGTACATGCCGACCTCCAGCATGTTGCACTGTACTGTCCAGGGGTGCAGGCCATGCTGGGAAGCTCATGTCCAGTCCGTGCCCTCATTGAGACCCTCCAGGATGATAGGACATGGTGGAAGAGGCAGTTGCGTGCTGCGACCATCCAGTGCAGGCGGGACCTTGAGAAATGGTGTTCTGCCCGTGCTGCCGTTGTCTCTGGCGGACCGCAGCCCAATGCTTGCACACAGGACGCTACTGCTCTGCCCTTCCCGTGCCCTTTTTGCAGCGCTGGATTTGAGCTGCGCAAGCACCTGGGGGTCCATGTGGCCCGGCGGCACGGGCTCCCTTCGCCCGCGAGACTGTACGCTCCTCACACCACCTGCGTTGCGTGTCTTCGGCATTTCCATACCTTGCCGCGCGTACAGCGTCACTACCGAGGGTCGAAGGCGTGCCTAATACGGGCCTGCCATTTGCTCTCGCCACTCAGCCTCACCCAGCTGCAGGAGGTTGAAGCTGCCGACCGGGCGTGCCAACGGCAGGTTCGCCAGGGGCACTGGCAGCAATACTCCACTGCGGCTCCTGTGCTACAGGCCTCAGGTCCCAGCCAGCCGACCAGGTCTGAGCTCCGCAGCTATCTTGGTGAAGATGCGCCGCTCACACTCCTGGCAGATCCTCCTAGGGATGAGGGCATCCATAGCTGGGCCGTACAAGAAGCCTCTTTTAGCACAAAGGAGCCTGCCAGGACTGGTACTTGCTCCTTTTGGTCTCACAGGGTGAGTTATACCACCTGAGTGCATACTGTCCCGTACAGATTTCTGCGCCAGGCTCCGGAATTCGGAAGCATGGATTTTTGGGACGCGTCTGTCGACACTGTAGTCCGCCCAATGCAAAAGTCTAGTCCCTTGCCTGCACAGGTGCAGGCGAAGGTACTGCCTCAAGGCTGCGTGTCCTGGAAGGTGTGCAGAAAACCGGCAGTGGCACAGGCATTGAGAATGTCAGCTTCAGCATTGATGTGCACGAGACTTTTAGATGGGGACGTGTCAACTCCATTGAACCGTGCATCATCGTGCATCTAAAGATATGAAAAGAGCAGACCGGATGCCACATTGCCGTGTCTGCTTGTAGCCGGGCCCTCAAGGCTTTCAGCGTCGCCGCCTCGTCTGCTGTCTCTGGGCTCAGAGCCTCTGCTTGAGGCTTCTCCGAAACCGAGCCTGAGCCTAGGAGAAAGTCGAGTGAAGTCCCCAAGGCCCCATATCCTGGCACTGTGTGTCTCACGGGCTGAGACGAAGGAGCTGGCCTGGCAAGCTGTCCGTGAATCTGAATGCAGTACTGCTAGCAGCTAGCATGTACTCAGAGAGGTTCTCAGGGCCAGGATGTATGGGTGTCGCCAGAAGCGAAGCAAGGCACAGCAAGGACCATGCACTACATTGAGGGCCACAGCAACTACAGCTTTTTCTGCCAAACAGGCGCCTCGGACTCCTCCTGTGCAGAGTCATCCACCTGCAGCGGCCCGAAGGCGAAAAGTGTCTGCAAGAAGTCCACAACAAGTCCGTGTGGCTGCGTGGCATTTTTTTACTGTCAGACTCCTCACAGCACATGAACAGAATGCCATCCATGGTACCCGTATGTCAGTCGAAACGGACACCCTCAGAAATACTACCCGCCCGTATCCTTCAATCTCACTCAATACATCTCAATACCCCAAGGAAGCTTCATTGAACTCCGCCCCCGAACAAAGTGCTGCGAAGTGTTATCGCCTCCGTCGCATCCTCGATTAAGCTGGCATAGCTGCGGTTCTCCGCCAACACGTCCAGGCTGGGACACGACGTGACAGGGCGTGAAGATCGTGAAGCTTTTGAACATTTCTTCTTGCTTCCGCTTGCAAGGGTTGGGTTTCCGGGCACCCGTCGCAGATAGACAGAAAACACACACAGTCGAAGCAGCCATCTGACAAAATTGCATCTGCGGCGCATGCGTGTGAGGTCACTGCGGCCAAGAACTATTTGCAGTTGCTCACCACCGGATGGTTGCAGCGAAGCCTGCACGAACGACAGCCGGATCAGCCTGCGCATTGCAAAGGTGCGGTGCGCCTCGAAGCGGGTCCCCTCTCGGCCCTGGCGTAGTGTGGCATCCATGCGGATCGTCGTGGGAGTGGCGCCCTTTGAAGCCTGCCCGCTTCGCGCACCCGGCTTTTGCTACTGCTTGCTTTCTTGGCACCTTCGTCTCCGGCAGCTGCAGGACAGAGGCAAGTTTGCCTGTTTTGCCGGCCATACGAAGGTCCACCTGGCAGGATCCCTTTAGCCCGGCACGTCCCGCCCTCCGACGAACAAGTTCTCATGCATTGCGTCCATCTCGCCTCGCACAGCTTCAAGTCCTGGAGTTTCATTTGGGATGTTGCAGTCACGTTGCTGTATCTCGGGACTGACTTTGCGATGTACACTCATGAACCTAGGCACTTGCACGTGCAGTCCGTATAGTTGCACAATGTTGCACATATCATTCACCTGCCTTTGTAAGAATGCTCCTTGAGTCTGTGAAGGCAAAGCACGACAGAGCACAACGAAACATGTCCGAAGTCCAGCGTCTCGAGGCTGTCAGTGGTGCGCTGAAGGTTGACGTGCCCAAAGTCGATGACGATGAACTCCTGGGTGACTGACGCGTTTCGGCCGCTATCTTCAAGCCGCCCCATGCCGCCCCGCGATGCCCCGCTCCTCGCCAGGCATGGCTTTGAAATCGACAACGCCTTTCTGCTCCTCAAGATGACCGCAGCGTGCCTCCGGGCCATGTGCACTTATGTGCACTAGTGACGCAGGCAAGACGTGGCATTCGCAGAACACTGTCCATGTGCCTTGTGCTGGCTCCCCGCTCCCAACCCAGAACTGACACGCCGGGATTTCACATCTCTGTGGCCTTACCGCCCACCTCACGGAGTCTGTAGTAACTGCGTAGCAGTGCTGGGTTTTGCACTCCAGCCAACACCCCGTCATCCGTGCACCACCACTGCGGCTGCCAGAGGTGAAGTTGCGCAAGACGAATAACTAGGTCTCCGCGGTCGCACCATTACGCTTTCGAACAGGTGCAAAAATACTGTGACTGGAGACTGTGGAATGAGAACAAAGTGCTTCCTCAAGTCGATGGCTCATGCCGAACATGTTTAAGTGAACGAGACCCGCACGAGAGAGACGGGACCCGTGCAGAGCCTCTCCCAGGGAGCGCCGGCGCCGAAGTGTCGGGTCCGTGGGAAGAAAAACCTGCGAGAGAAATGCTGAGGCATAGCGCAAAGCAGCGCAGTGGCACAGCGGTCCGGCGCAGCGCTGCTACTGTATGCGCTACCGTGCTTGCTCTGTGTGCAATCACGTGAGAGCCTTGGGCGCGCCAATCCAGCATCGAAACAAGGGACCTGCGAAGTTTGCTCCACTTGCGACTCGACTGAAGTAGAGCCACGCCATGATGTCCGTTGATGTCCCCATGACCCCACGATACCCCACGACACTCGAGTCATGCAATCCTCCCATCAGAATGAAAAAATCTCCGCGAGCTTGCGACAAGCCACGTTTCCACTTGGCTTCAAGGCCGAAAGTCTCGGCCACCTCTGCAGAGCGCGAAAACTCGGTTGCGGCTCTCAGGTCTGGACTTTGCTACGGTGCACCTGCCTGTTGCTGGTCGAGGGATGATACTGAAGGCCTCACATGACAGCCCGGAAGCCATCGGCCGGATAAAGTCTCTCAAAGCACTTATGAGCTTGGCGGATGGGACTCGAGCTTAAGCCGGAATAAATGAAAAGACAAGTAAAGAGGCGGTGCGGCTCCGGCTTCATTTCCATTTATCGAACTCACATGCAAGGCCGGGGTTGTCGTTGGAGGCGTATGATTGACATGTCGGCACATGTCGGCACCAATCATTCACAAATCCCAAACAAGGAAAGGCAGGCGACAGCAGGCCAAGTGCCATGGCCTCTGAGAACTGCCGGCACCTTCAGCGGCCTTCACATGCGCTCCAATGCTTCAAAGAAGTGCTTCGACCGACTTCTTGAAATATCGATCTAGAGTATTCGCAGACGATGGGAAGAGAAGGCGGGGACACTCCGTTGACTGCTGGCGAACGAAACAGATTAAGTTGAGCATCTACTCGAATCAAATCAATCTAAAAAGTAAAAGCGAGTGGTCAGCCCCCGCTTGAACCTGCAATAATTATGCAGACGGCTGGCCACCTACCGCTGCCATCCACTGCCTACCACTTGTCCCTGGTCTGTTCCATTCTCTTCATCAAAAATTGAAAAACGCTGCATTTTCGGAGGTCCTGCAGCGGTCTCAACACCGAGCGCAGGAGCTCCAAGAGCGCATCCTCAGGGCCGAGCGTAAAAGGCGCTTTCAGGCGATGCAAAATCCTACAAAGCGCACAGTGCCCGACACGCAACCGGGCCCCGCACACTGTCGCGCTGGCGGAAAAGCACTGCCAGCTGCTGCAACTTCACTCCTGAGTCACTGGTTGCCAGCGTCTGCGACACGACAACACCTTTGCTGCCCAGACACCGAAAAGTGGCTCACACCCTTCTGGCTGCAGCGGCACCAAGGCAGAACTGTCGAGCCTCAGCAATCGGTGGATATACGCTCCCGTTCGGTATGATCTGCTAGCTGCGACACAGTCACAATCTGGTTCTGTGATCTACAGGGTGCACAGCGTTGCGCGACTGTTTTCATCTATAATTGCGTAGACGAATCTAGACGGTATAGACTCTAGATTCAATATGTTGGAAGTCGCTCCTGTATGAAACCCCACTCAGCTCAGATGAGCATGACTGTCGACTTTACAGGTTTTGGATCGGGGTTGCAACTCCATAGGCCAGGAAATTGTCGAATCTGCATTGTCATCAACTAGAACACTGTGGAGGACCGGTGACTTGAGCGCTTGCCATGTGAGGAGAGCCGCAGCTTTGTGTCGTCCCGCATCTGATGTTTGTAAGGGACTGGATCCAACAGCGGTGCCTGGTCCGTACTGGCTGTACCTGCAACTGACTCTTCACCAGGACGCTGGCAGCACTCCACCTGTAGCCCTTGGAGTAAGCAGCCTCGGCGACTCGATGCAAAGTCACGAGACCCAACAAAGCCCTCACCGGTCAGAAGCGACCAGGTGGCCGCCGGGACTGGAGCGTCAGGCTGGCCGCCTGGAGCTGGAGCCTGGCCAAGGCGCCAAGGACAACGTGAGAAGTGCTCTCCGCCTTCCCACTGAAATTCGTGGAGACGGACTCTACACGACATCCCTTGCGAAGCAGAGCTGCCGGATCTGGCTACATCTTCCTACACGTGCAAGACCGTACAAGCATAAGAGCCAGCAAACATGCAGAAGTGCAAACTTTGCAACATAAAACAACACATCATCAAACTGTACACAAGCTACCAGCAGCACTGGGAACATCTCAGTTGGCTCGGCAGCATCTTTGCCGTGCAGCCATGATTCCTTGAAACGTACTTTTCCCGATTCGCATCATTCGACTTCGAGTCGCCAGTGCGGCGTCTGCCAGGTGTCTGGTCGGAGGCGCACGATAGCCGAGAGAATCGACGCCAGACGGATCATTTGAAATACCGGTGGCAGTGTTGTAGCGGCCAAGCGGCGAGGTGAATAGCAAGCTTGCAGCCGCACCTCGAAAGAGATCAATTTGATCCGGGTACTGCCCTCTTGAGCAACCATGATCAAGCCAATCCGAACGAACATGCGCCGTGTACAGACATACTTGGCGCTTGGCGCTCGCGGAAAAGCTGGACACGGAAGTGGACACCTGCGGAGGGTTTCGGTGGGATATGCGAAGAAGCTATAGGAGCTGGTGAGCAAACTCAACTCGCTGTTGCATGTGAGGCTGTGCTTCTTGTGTCACTCTGTGAGCTTGTCTGATTGCTCTGTCTACCTCTCACTCGCTTTGCATCTCTCTTCCACACAGACAAGAAGGGCACGAAACCCTTCCGCTCACGAACGCGCCCCGCCTAATTATCTCAGACTGTCCCGAGGCAGAGCATCCGCTCTTCAGCAGGAGTAGCGAGGCTCCAGGCTACACTTCCATCCAAGCTCGAATGCGCAAGCTGGCAAGGCACATGCCGCGAGTGCTGACGTGCTACAGTACGCTTCCTGATGCTGGACACGTATTTCACGGGGCCCTTAACCCGCCAGTGCCTTCTAGAGAAGCATGTGCCACTGCACGGCTCTGAGTGCCTAACGACAGGCAGCAATGATCGAAAGCATTGATGTGCATGCTTGCACTGGCGACAAAGCCGAGCGGATAATTCCCAGATCAGCTTGCTGAGCTCTGCCTCGCGGGCCCTGTGCGAAGATGCGCAGCGAGGCGCTCTGAAGATGTAGCACCTCAACTGTACAGTGCTGGCATGGTACCAATCGGCTCGGGCTCTGGATCGCACCGTATCGCGCCGCATCACACCGTCGTAGTTGCATGTGCTGTCCAGCCCAATTGTGCTAACAAGGAGCAGTGCTGACGAAGGCTGGGGCGCACGGCGCATTGACGCCATAGCCTGAAAAAGCCTGCTGACCAGGAGACAAAGCAGTGCATGTCCAGCTGGTGACAGACTCCACTCCAGACTGCCTCAGCTGAAGCCTGCAAGTTTATGCGTTCAAACAACGAACGCTACGGAATCTCAGGCTCGATGGCTACTGCGATCAAAGGTCAGCTGCCTCTTCTGTCAACGGAGATAGCACCGGACCAGCGTCCTCCTGACCGGAAGAGCAACAGTGATGCAGCAACCGCAGGCTCAGACGTAAAGGAAACTTGCAAGACCCAACGGCTCTGAGCCAAAGCATGAACACAGTGCTGGTAGCATACCACTTACAGAGCATCGTGCTCTGGACATGTTGACATCACATCTCGCTGAAGTACAAACCCGAGACTGCGAGAAGCATTGTCGCCGCGCCCCAAACCTCCTCCACATCGCCGCCACTGCGGTTCGCGGACTTCTCCTGCGACTACTTTGCAGTCCGCAGGCTCTTGTCACAACCACCTAAGCACCAGCTTGTAGGGGCAACGAAATTCAGCGTGTAAAAGAAAAAACCCAGTGACGCCTGCATGGGTCCCAGCATCTCAAACTTCTCCCACGCGGAATAGAATCGAGATCTCCTGGCTTCTAGTCCAGTGACTGACAGAATTCAAACGCATCATCTGCCGTTCGACGGGGCACTCGACTCGACTCAATCTTGGTGCTCAGCTTCGTTTGTTCTTGAGCTTCATTGCGCTATGCTGCACAGCCTTATAGCACCCCAAACTCAGCCAAACACTTTTCAGCATCTTGCCAGTCCCTCACGGCTGTGGCTCCTGGGCTGGGACGCCTCGCGAAGGCGGCGGAGAGCTTCGATGGCCGCACGGTCTGCCGGCTCAAGCGAATGGTCTACGAGTCAGAATTTCAGCTTCCACTGTCGACTCCTGCTGGGCCTGGAGCCGAACTACTGGTGCAAACATTCACAGAGAGGGCGGGAGTGGGTTCGAAGCCTGATTCGTCTGATATGTCCTGCTTCACTGGTTGGAAGCAGATGTGGCTAGCAAAGTCACGGACATTCACGAAAGACGAGGCAGTACAAACTTCAGACAATTTTGGCCGGGCCAACACCCAAGGAGAAAGATTTGGCCAAGAAGAAGCCAGCTGAAGCATGTCAGATTCCAGTTTCGGGACCTTGCAGTTGCAACATGTTGCAACGATTCGGCGTGACTCAGTATACGGTATACTTATTCGAGTCTTTGTACTGCTCTGTACAGCATGACAGCCAAGGCTTCCTCCGGCCTTTCTTGATGATTAGGTGGAAAACTTGGAATTCGATGGAAGGATTCGTGGCACCTCGTGCAACAACTTGACCGGGCCTTCCAAAGCTTCCGCGACCAGCGCCTGCACCGCCTCTTAAGAGACAGGGATACTATGTGCTTGTGGAAACATTGCATCAAGCCTCGGGCACGTGCCTCGGAAAGATTCGCTATGCGCCGCGACAGCTCAGTGTGAAGGGAGCCTTCAATACCTCGCAGCTGCAAACCAGAAAGCCGCAGCAAAGTCGAACAGCCGACTTCTTCCTCATCTTCACTGCTGCTTCAGGTCGACAGATGCGTTCAACATCGGAAAATCAGCCGTTTTCTGCGTCTTGTAACCTAGAAAACCTACGAGGCTCTGGAGATGCTTCCTGCTGTTTTCGCGAGTCTAGACACACGGGAAGCCAAGGTTCATAATAGCCTTTTCCTCTATAGATTCCAGTCGCTGATGAACTTGTGCAGGCATACGGATGTATGCTTTCCTGGCCTCCGATGCCTGTCGCGAGCTGGTAGTGACCCTCCGTCGAGCGCTGCAGCTGCAATGCGACCTGCTCCAAGCAAGTAGAGGCCTACGATGCGCATCTGTAACAGGCTTCCCTCGCCAACCCCACGTGCATACGTTTCCCAAGGCCGACTATGTATTGACTGCTCGATCGAGGGCTGTCACTGTCGGGCCTGCAAATACATTTCCGTGGCGCTCGGGCTTTCGGGTAACCTCTCGGGATCTTTCGGGGCCTGATGGGCCTGAATATTGTACTTGTGCTCGCTACATGAATAATCGCTGCTGTTTGCTTGCAGTAAACACGAACTCCCGTCGACCATTGGTTGCATTCCTGCTGCCGCAAAACGCCACTGCAATCTTATATCAGTTGCCAGCCACAGCACGTAGCATGTAACGTTTGGAGGGGGTCCTGAACTCATTACCCGGATGGGCCGAATACATTGGCGAAGCCCCCAGGCTCCAATGCATACTTTATCATACTTTCTGTAGGAGTCCACCAGAACTTACAACTTGCACTCATGGGCTCTGCTAGTTGAAGTCTTCTTTTGGAGTGTTCATCGTACAACCAATCCTGTGGGCGCTGCAAAGTGTGAGTTGCGCAGACAAGCAGTGCAACTGCCAGCCGCTGCTTTGACATTGCACAGGCCCTCGAAGGTGGATCCCATTAGACTGCGCAGGAGCATGTGTTCAATGTGCTTCCATGCACTTGAGCTAGATGTGTCAAGTCCATGCCACGGTCTGCACGTAGGTTGTCGATGACTTGGGAGAAAGTCCCAGGCCTGGCCTTTCCGAATGTCAGGACGTCGCCGTGTCCGAGAACGATTCCAGCATCCTGCCGAAACGCGCAGTTGAGGCTTGGAATCCTGGAACCTTCCACGTCAGACCACAAAGACTCAGCAACGGCAGAAGCATATGTCCTCAAAAAGACACCATGCTGCCGGCGCCGCCATCGGACAGCCCACCGCAGCAACAGGGAACTCGGCAGGCTCAGGCACGCGCAGCTCCGGCCTCGGCACTGCGGCCGCAAGACAGGAAGATTCACATGCCTCTTGACACCTCTGGGCGAATGTCTTGTATCCGGCTCCACAACCAGCCCCGATACCGCGCTGCGCCACTGAACATGCACGAGCCGGGCCAGCAATCCTACGCGGTTACAGAGCACCCAGCTCCCTGTTGTTCTCCACCGTACGCAGGCGAACGCGCCCAAAGCCTCAAGCAAGGAGCTCAAGGTACAGTACCGGTTGGTCAGATCAAATGCGTGTCGGACTCGCATTCGTGCTTACACCTAGTGAGCAAGAAGGTAATCGACTCCGGCAACTCGCTGGAGATGTACTTCAAGGCGGCAAGCCAGGGAACATGTCTCATGCACAAGTCTGGTGCGGTGCTGTCTCATCTGCAGGCTCCGGCGCAGAATGAAAGCTTCTTCCAGATGCTCCTCCCAATGCAGCACCGGTGCCTCATGCCAGCCCGGCACCAAAAAGGTTCAAGAAGTCTAGGCTTCCGTCCCGTATGATTTCAGCGCTCGGAGGCAGTGAAGACAACACATATTCAAGCGTAGCTGTTGTTGCTCAACTGCGCAGAGCGGCTACCGTACTGCCCGTTTCGTGTTAATGACTACAACCTTCCCTACAAAATCGCTCGCCTCTCACGGAATCAGTGCCAAATCCTGACCAGAACGCATGAAATCAAGCGGCTGCCACATCCAGGTCGAGCTCCAAGGACATCACAGAGACCTGGCTCATCGGCGCAGAAGTGTAACAGCATAGCTTCGAAGCGGTGAGCGCGAATGCAGATCTTGGGGTGTGCTTGTCCACAGACATGCTTTCCACAGTTGCTCGGCTCCTCAGAACCTACGGTATCAATACAAAGCTAGCAGTGTTGTCGGAACATCGCACGCGACATGACCACATGTCTCCTCATTGCTCGAATGTTCTGCTCGGATGCTAAAACCGACTCTCTTCGTTTCGGAGCAAGCATCTGAGTTCCCAGCAGAAGATCCGCTAGAATTCACCTCGTGACAGACAGAGAACAGTGCCGTTTATAGAGGCGACATCTCGGGATATGACAATACTTGGTGCACTGATTCCACAACTTCATAGTTCAACTCACCTCTGGCTACAGCATGAAACGAAGCTTGGGAGTTCGGCACGCACGAAGCGTCAAAAGTCTGATGAGTCTGATGACCGGCAATGGCTGAGACCGTTTGAAAACCTTCCTGCTCTGGAGACCCGTTCTGCGTCCGTATGGCGTACTGGTGCCAGGGAGCGCCTGCAGCGCCTTCTCTTCTTTGGACGTAGCAGGTTCCGGTTGAAACGCATCTTCTGTCTGTCCTGATGGTCCGAAGCTTCGAACAGGGTTCTTGAGCGCTAATTTCCTGTAAGTCCCTACCTAGCGAGCAGTCTTGCTTGAAGCCTTCTTCCCAAAGGACTGTCGCAACACTTGCCTGGTCGTTCTGGACCGCTTGCTCCAACCTCCAGCACCGCAGCTACATCCTGTACAGGGCTGCAACTTGACGTCAATGGATGTTCTTCTTGTTTGAAGTCGACAAGGCTTCAAGGATCTTCACCGGATCTGCGGAGCTTTGTGGCCAGGCAAACACGGGTATGCTCGGAGAAAAACCCTGCCTGAACCGCACTTAGTGTGTGCTGCAGGCGGAGTGGCGCCAGCAAGAAACGAAGCGGTGCCTCCGGGAAGGGGATGGGTACATGGGTACCGATTGTCTGCAACATCCCTCGCATGATCGCAGGATCGTGGAACTTGGGAGAGAAAACGAGCCAAACAAAGGCCTGTGCTCAAGACTGCTTGTTCCCTGCTCTTCGGATTAGAATCTACTGGCAAGCGGAAGGGAGGCTGCAGGTGCCTGCTTCACCCGCAAGCTTGTTGACCAGCCGCCACCAGCGGCGACCTGGAAAGCTTGCGAAGGTTTGCCGTTTGCCCCAGGAGAGATGCGTGATGCTTAAGAATCTTCTTTTTGCCCGTCATGAAGCAAACACAACTTAAGGTACCGAGAGGTGGCCGCGCTTGGCTCAGCATACGTTCACAACACCCACCTCTGGCTCCGGCGAAAATCCCAAGTTCTTTACCTCTCTGAAAAACCCACTGATGTGCTGCAGAGAACTTGAACCAAGGGAGAACCGCAGCTGCTAGGCTTGCAGGATTCAGAGGCACAACGCTCCGCTCGTCGTTTGTAAGCAGGTCCAACTTTGTGTCGTCGCACGAACGATGGTATCCATGTGCGGCCGCAAGCCTGTCCCTTCCATGGCCTTCTGCCATAATTCAAGGTTGAATCTGCCCGAGGTTCTGTGGAGGCTTGTGTGGGAGCGCGTCTTCGGCTTCGAATGCCAAACTTTGTAGCCAGTAAATGCCTGTAGACTGACGGACGAAACCTGTTACTCAGATGCACACATGCATGCATTCATAACGTCTACCGGCATACATACATACATACAT